TGATCTCTATAAGTATTTCTACCCGTGTCATATTTATTAAACTCTCCCTCCGAGATTTCTTATTATTTCTTTCCATAAACTTATCTTTATGTTCCATCTTTCTATATACCTTTTTGCAACTTTTTTTTTTTAGAATTTTGTTCGTATATTTTCCAATATTGTAGTGTTTGCCTCATTTTTTTTTTTTAGCTAGTTGCATAGTCTTGACCTTTTTTTTCCCCTAAATTTGATGACCTCTTTTTAATGCTTCATTTCTTGAAAAAATTATAATAATTATTTTAAGTTTTACTATTATATCGATTTTTTTTTCATATTTTCTTATTCTCTATATAATTTTTTTCTATATATAATTATTTTTAATTTCTCAATATGCTTTTCTCCTACCGTTTGTCTATCACAAATTACTTTATTCCTTTTCTTATTTTTTCAAAATTTCTCCCTATTAATCTCTACGTTATTTTATCATCATAATGTCAACAGTTTCTACCATTATAATATATGCAAAAAAATATAATGAATATGTTATATTATTATATTAATTTACTAGTAATCATTTATTGTATTATAAAATATTATATTATACTTAATATAATTTATTATTATATTGTTAAAATTTTGGCCGATTAATCTATAATTAGAATATTAGTTTTATTACTATTTTAATTTTTTCTTTTATACAACGTAATCAATAGTAATCATTTATTAGCATTGCCCATTAATGGGCAAAAAAAGATATTAATATTAAAAGAGTTTACTATTGAAGCAGCATCAGCTGAAATAAAAACCAATATACTAACTAATAAAAAAAAATCTAATTAATGGTTACACTTTAACACATAACTATAAAAATCAATATTGATTGGTGAATTGATTTTTCTCATCATGAGAGTTGGGGGTTTTTTTTTTTTTTTTGCATCAAATTGGTTTTTTTTTTTTAGTTGGTTGTTTTCGGATTTATTAGTTTGAAGTTTTTCTTTCACCTTTCTTCTTTACATTTTAAATTTACTGTTAAGGGTAATATCTTAGTTAATTTAATTTTATCTATAAATTTATAATTTTACATTAAGAAATTACTACATCTGTCTCAAATAAATAGTCTACTTTGAGTTTTGAGTTTTATACTCTTTTTAGTATAAATTTGAAAATTCAATGTGGACTATTTTTTTGGTACGGAGAGAGTACTATTAATTGATGGAGTGATGTAGTTGCAACATGTGTATCTAGCTATTTAATTTTTTGCCATATTGATTACTATATTTAATTTTACGCCATACGTCCGATTGAAAATTATCGTTTAATTATATTTAAATTTAATACTTATTCTTCCGTATAACAAAAATGAAACTGAATCTTTTAATAATTAGCGACTCATAATAATGATTGTAATCATAATAACAAAAGACTCAAGGAAAGAGATTAACTTTCATAGTTCAAAGTGGGGCTTTTTCCACAATCAAATTAATATATATTCGAGTTTTTGTACATGGTGAAAAATCAATTATGTTGGGCACGTTGTTATATTCATTTTTTTTATGCTTGATTAATCAACGATTCAACGTGAATATTATAGTTTTTCCCTATTTTGCTTGATGATTAATGACAAGGTTTTCTCTTAAACGTAATACTAATTTAATTTGATGGAGGACGGAAACCTAGAAACGAAAAGAGTACATTGAATTAATTTGGACTACTCCACTACTAAACTTGAATACTGTTTCTAAATCGTTTAAGTTGTAATCTCAAAGAAAAATGTCGAGGAATGTCGAATACTATTTCCTGTCTAATAATTTGAAGGGTTGTTGAATGCTTAGCTTAATGAATTTTTTCCCCGTGCCGCCATCTTCATTAATTCTGGTTGTCAATGTATCTGTTTTTTTTAATCATATATTAGTTTGTCGTTAATTTACTTTTTTTCATTTTGTTTTGTTGTTTAAGTAATTTAGCCTTATCTACAAATTTACGATTTTATATTAAAAAATTACCATTAAATGATGGAGTGACGTGGTTGTGACACGTGGATTTGGGTATCTAATTTTTTGACATGTGAATTAGCTTGTCTAACTTTGCCATATGTGTACGATTGAAAACTCTCCTTTAATATATATAGTGATATAAGATTTTTTTTTGGTTACATTATACACCTGGTGTCCGAAATCATTGTTCTGACTAATTGAGATTTGAGCCGGGTAAATCCCTTTTGAGAGACAAATCTCTCCCAACAAGTATTTGAATGAACATATTTATTCTTTTTTTAATCTATCTAGTAATAAGGAGTTTGCGATTCATGAAAAATTTAAAGTTCAAAAGAATTTAACTTTATATATGTTAGCATGTGCTCGTTTAAAAGTGTTCGCAATAGTGTCTTATCTCACTTTCATAATCTGTTACATAGGAATACATCATTATTTATTTATCATTCTCCCATCCCAAAACCAAAAGAGTCTACTTTACGATATTAAAAACAAAAAAAAATAAAATCTCAAATTCCTGTTTTTTTTTTGGTCAAACTAATCTCATGTGAGATATTTCAAGCTTTATATCTAGTTTTCCAGCCTAGAGTAAACGTATGACAATGTTCTTAATTGATTTGTATTGAAATCTTCTTGAAAACATCTGAGGAAAAGAAGGCATACTTAATTTGATGGAGTCAGCTCCAAAGTTTTCTGGCAATTTGACCTTAATAAACAAGCGTTTTCATCACATATTGTGTTTACTAACTTTGAATTATATACAGATTATTGCATTATCAAAGTAATACACGGGCTTTTGCGGATCCCTGGTGACGTTGAGCCAAAGCCATACATGCTATCCTGCTTCTTCAAGTTATATAGGGAGTATCTTTATTGTAGTCACATAAATAAGAATCGAACTCAATCTCCATAGTGCAAAACAAATTCTTAAACTACTTATCCGGTTAGACTACAATTCTTACTTGATTTTCATTGTACCGAGCAAACTGACTTTATGTCTTGACGATTCAAAACTATACAATGCGGGACCTAGGGAATTGCAATAGATGCTCTAAGCGTCAGCGTCCTTTTAACTTGTAGTAAATTTGTTTGAACAAAATCACATTAATTGTCCATCAAGATGAATTTCTGATATTTGGTATTTACAAGACAAGAGCCCTGCTTAACCAATTTGTCATATTGAGGCGATTTTTGAACTATCTCGTGTACGACACTACGACCCTCTTTCTTCCCTAACCTAAATCAAAAGTATACTACGTCCGTTTTTTTTATCTGTCGTTTTGGGGTGTGTACAATTATTAAAAAAAAATGGATTGAGAATTTAATTTATAAGAGTAATATTTTTCTTGCTTTTAATTAAAAGTATTAGAATATGTTATTAAAAGTAGAAAGAGATAAGGATAAAATTGAAAAAATTATATTTAATGTTGCATTGAAAATGAAGTGCGACGGATAAAAAAACACTTGAGACTCATTCTAAAACGACAGATAAATAAAAACGGAAATAGTATATAATAAACATTTAATTCCATTAGGAAATTTCACCACACTTCAACAGGAAAATTACAGTCATGCAACGATTGGGGTTCACACTAAGGTATGGCTATATAGTATTAAATTAAATTAAAATATTTACAGAAAGGTTCTAGTTCTTTAGGTATTAGGTATTTATAAAGTCTCATTTTTGTACCAAAAAATAAAAAAATTATAGAATAATTTTATTATGTGCAAGAGGAATTTAATCCTTTTGGACTAGTGGAGTAAATTCGAACACTTAATGCATGATATATTGGATACAAAACTAAGGCTACGTATTCGAACACTTTTGTTCAGTGTTTTCAGGCTCGGACCGGAGTTCGACTCAGCACGGACAAGGAGTCGAACGAATCGGGAGTCAACTCGGGGCGATTTGGGAGGTCGACTCGGATGACGTCATAATGACGTAATAAATATTAATAAATAAAAAATATATTTTAATAAAATTTTATAAATTTTATATACATTTGTTTATTGTTAAAATCATATTAGTGCATCATAACTTTCAAATGGGTTTTGATAAAACAAAATTATTACATTAGCTAAATTATTAGTTTAAATTAACTCTTATTATAATTAAAAAATAAATAAATTTGATATATTATTGACTTTTATCAATTAAAAAATTATATTGCATGTTTGAAAAATATATTTGGTTTCCTTACTTTAGTTTAAAATGATCAATATTGCTTAAGTTATAAGTATTTAATTTTTGTTCTAAATAATGATTATAACTCAATTTGAAATGTATGATGTGGGATGAATGATTAATCCAAAAATTTAGACTTACAAATTTAAAATTAAGAGTTTAAACTTACAATTATAAAAGTTAGGTGGTCATTAAAAGTGTATAAGGAATCTAGTTAAGGACTAAAAGTGAAAAATCAGCTTCAATGAACCTCAAAAGTAGTGCAATTTTTTTTTTTAAATTTTAAAGAATAGCTCAAAAGTCAAAACCCGGTTCGACCTGAATTAGACCGATTGCTGATTTAACTGAAATCTTGACCGGTTTTCACCGAGTCTTATTTAGGCGATTTTATCACCTGCTCAGCTCGGCTTGAGGTTCTATTTTTGGTTAACTCGATTCAACTGGTCGGTCCGAACCGAGCTTAACAACACTGCTTTTGTTAGTTCGCTTGCCTATCTATAAATTTATTAAAACATTGAGATCTTATCAGTACTTAACCAAATTATTATGGAAATGAATACACATAATTCAAATACTTGAAGGATTAAGTTACCGTCTTATTGTAGATTACCTATAATTAGTAAACCTAATACAACTAAAAACTGCCTTAACTATGTAATCTAACTCTATATAAAAGGGTGGCCTCTCTTTTATTTGGAACAAGTTCTTCGTGAGTAATAACACGATAATAATATTGATTATATTTTTTACTTCCTCCAAACCTTAATTCTTAGTTGTTGCCCGTCCTAAAACACCGCCGTGTGGATTTCGACTTTGTCATTTTTTTTTTGTCAAACTTTAAGAGTAGTAGCAATTAGCTTTAAAAAAAGCAAATGAGCATCCCGGCCCGGCCCGACACTACCCTAGGAGAGTTTTTTTGTACTGCCAGAATATCCACACACTGCCTACAAAGATATTGCCTTTGTCAGCTGGCTGCTCCTCTTGTAAGTGTAAGACCACTCTCTTAAACCCTTAGAGCATTCCGCAGTAACCCCTTTTCCCTTCCCAGAAATCTGGAAAAATTAGAAAACCGAGGATTGAATCAATCCTTTTCTTTGTATAGACCGAGGAATATGAGATTTTTTTGAAGAATCCATCCTTTTTTTTTGTCTCTCGCACTTATATAGATACATGTAAGTATGTTTCATATTTCAATATGCATGAATGGAGCATTTAATTCTATGTTTGTTTAGGATTTGATTGACTGATATGATATATCTTTACTCTTTCAACTCTATTTTGATTTAAGTTTACATTGTATTTGTTTGTTTCTCTTCTTCTTTTGAAGCCTAATTTGTTGTTGTTTTTGTTTTGGGTTTTTGTTGTGCAGTTTTGTTTGAAAATTGAAGATTTTATTGTGTGGGCCTTGGAGTCAGATACGTTGAGAGATGGGTTACTGTATGCACCACTGTGATAATGTCATATCTAAACTTGTTTCTTCATCGTCACCTTCATATGTTCTCAACCCCACCAAGAATTACTTCTCAAAATCGGGTCTTTTTAATTTGTATTTCAATCCCAAGAAGTCTGCTGAGAGGAGATGTGCATCGAATTTGAGTTTTCAATCTCGTCCCTTGGTTTTGCGCTCTGCGAAATCTAATAGATTGAGGGTGAGTTGTATTAGACAGGAACAGGTGGTTGGTAGTGATGGCAATGGGGCTGTCAATGGGGGGCCTTTTGGTGGGCAAAAGTTGGGTAAAAGGACTGACATTAAGAAGATTCTGATTTTAGGGGCGGGGCCAATTGTTATTGGGCAGGCTTGTGAGTTTGATTATTCCGGAACTCAGGCTTGTAAGGCACTTAGGGAAGAGGGTTATGAGGTGATTCTTATTAACTCGAATCCTGCTACAATCATGACTGATCCAGAGACGGCAAACAGAACTTATATCGAGCCAATGACGCCGGAACTAGTAGAGCAAGTTTTGGAGAAGGAGAGGCCTGATGCTTTGTTGCCTACAATGGGAGGGCAGACAGCCCTTAACCTTGCTGTGGCTTTGGCTGAACGTGGAGTGCTTGAGAAGTATGGGGTTGAGTTGATTGGCGCAAAGCTGGAAGCAATCAAGAAGGCTGAAGACAGAGAGCTGTTTAAGCAAGCAATGAAGAACATTGGCCTCAAGACCCCTCCATCTGGTATTGGGACAACTCTCGAGGAGTGTTTTGAAATTGCTAATTCGATTGGGGAGTTTCCGTTGATCATTCGACCAGCTTTCACTTTGGGTGGAACCGGAGGTGGTATTGCCTATAACAGGGAGGAGTTTGAGGCGATATGTAAGTCAGGTCTTGCAGCTAGCTTGACTTCTCAGGTTTTAGTGGAGAAGTCTCTGTTGGGTTGGAAAGAGTATGAACTCGAGGTTATGCGAGACTTGGCCGACAATGTGGTTATCATTTGTTCGATTGAGAATATCGACCCTATGGGAGTTCATACTGGAGATTCTATCACTGTTGCTCCTGCTCAGACCTTGACGGATAAGGAGTACCAGAGGCTTAGGGATTATTCCATTGCTATAATCAGGGAGATTGGAGTTGAATGTGGTGGTTCAAATGTTCAGTTTGCCGTCAATCCAGTTGATGGAGAGGTAATGGTGATTGAGATGAATCCTAGAGTTTCGAGATCTTCAGCTTTGGCTTCCAAAGCAACCGGTTTCCCCATTGCAAAGATGGCTGCGAAATTATCAGTTGGCTACTCATTGGATCAAATTCCTAATGACATTACAAAGAAAACGCCAGCTAGTTTTGAACCTTCTATTGATTATGTGGTAACCAAGGTAACTTTTTACCCCAAGATTCATTTTTAAGAGTCCATTGTTAAATTTATTCTAACAAAATTAATATACCTTGCATAATAAGCTCCAATAAAATTTGGGGTTTCTACCTGTGCAATTAGCTGTCCCCCTCAGTGTTTCATTTGGCCTGAAGTGAATTTGTAATGACATTCTATATCTGTGAACTGGAACTTCCGGAGGTCAATTTACTTATTACGATGTCTTTGAGTCCACTACTTTTTTCTAATTTTTGAGAAAGCCAAAAATCACGGTTGTTTTTTATCGTTGTTTCTCCCTTTCATGATACATTGGCATAGTTTTTCCAAAGGTTATATGCATCTTTCGTAATCTAAAATCAAAGTTTCATTCTACTTAGCATTTGACTTAAGATGTTTTGGTCTATCACTTTATTTTTGAGTCAAATGGTTGAACCACCGGTTGATTTTCTGTTTTCTCTGCTGCTCTGTATCTGATCTTTACGACGTTTGAGTGTCAATAAACTACCCAGTAATTATCATGCTTGATTTAGTGATCCAGAGAGTCAAATGGTAGCTTCTGGTAAGGCATCTAAATTGCTCCAGTATAAGTTGATGTCAGGTAAAATTTCCTTTTATTAGAGGAGAAATGGGTTTTCTGCAAACTTTTTTCTGTATGTTTTTAATCTTATGGCAACGTGGTGCATGAGATGACTGAAAAAACTTATGAGTTTGCTTTTCTAAAGTTTGTGCCACATCAATACACTTGTGCTGGTTTGTTTTCTATAAAGTTAGGTGAATTGACTATGAGCAATTGTTATGGTCTGATATTTATCTAATGATATTTTTATTCCAGATACCCCGGTTCGCATTTGAAAAATTCCCAGGATCTGAGCCTATTCTGACTACACAAATGAAGTCTGTTGGTGAGTCCATGGCTGTTGGACGCACGTTCCAGGAATCCTTTCAGAAGGCGGTGCGATCACTGGAGTGTGGCTACTCTGGTTGGGGTTGTGCGCAGATAAAGGAACTGGATTGGGATTGGGACCGCCTAAAGTATAGCCTAAGAGTCCCTAATCCAGAGCGCATCCATTCCATTTATGCAGCAATGAAGAGGGGATTGAAGGTAGATGACATCCATGAGCTAAGTTTCATTGACAAGTGGTTTCTGACTCAGTTGAAAGAGCTTGTAGACGTTGAACAATTCCTTTTGTCTCAGAAGTTGTCTGATATGACAAAGGATGACCTGTATGAAGTGAAAAAGAGAGGTTTTAGTGACAAACAGATAGCATTTGCCACAAAATCCACAGAGAAAGAAGTACGTTTAAAACGGTTATCTCTGGGTGTTAAACCAGCATATAAACGAGTTGATACATGTGCTGCAGAATTCGAGGCAAACACTCCTTACATGTATTCATCGTATGACTTTGAGTGTGAGTCAGCCCCTACCCAGAGTAAAAAGGTTTTGATTTTAGGTGGTGGACCAAATCGAATTGGTCAAGGAATTGAATTTGATTATTGTTGCTGCCACACATCTTTTGCCCTCCAGGTATTTTTCCCGAATTCTGGTAACCTTAAGAAGTAATTTTCCCCCATTTTTATTGTACTAATAGTTCGTAAAATCTTGGAGCTTTTGTATGTTACCTCACAAAGCATCCTTCTTGAATGTTGTCTGCTCTGGGTGTCTTTGTAAACATGACGTCACCAGTGCACACTTTGTTCCTATTTGTCAATTTACTAGTAGTATGAGCTGGCAAATTGGTGTATTATTGTGGTTATCACCTGATTGTAGCATAAAATGATTTCTGTTGCTCTTGCCTTTGGCTGAAAGTTAGTAATTAACTCAAGATGTGTCAAATCCGCATCAATGTAGTACCTTATCTATTAGGAATGAATGGGGTGCCACAAAAGATAGTCCATATAATTCTGTGAAGGACTCTTTTTCTTACTTTTCAAGTCAACTTATTTGCTGTGAACATTCAGAATCTCTATATTGCTGAAACTTTTAGTTTTCTGATGTTCTTATGTCTTAACTGTATTTTTGTTCTACTTTAGGATGCAGGCTATGAAACAATCATGATGAATTCTAATCCTGAAACTGTATCTACTGATTATGACACAAGTGATCGTCTCTATTTTGAGCCATTAACAGTTGAAGATGTTCTCAATGTAATAGACTTAGAAGGGCCCGATGGGATAATTGTGCAGTTTGGAGGTCAAACCCCATTGAAACTGGCTCTTCCAATTCAACAATATCTAGACGAGTACAGGCCAAAATGCCAAAGTGGAGGTGGATATGTTTGTATTTGGGGTACATCACCGGATTCTATTGATGCTGCTGAGGACAGGGAGAGATTTAATGCCATTATTGAGGAGCTGCAGATTGAGCAACCAAAAGGTGGCATTGCCAAAAGCGAACAAGATGCTCTTGCTATTGCAGCAGATATAGGATACCCTGTGGTTGTCAGGCCTTCGTATGTATTGGGGGGACGTGCAATGGAGATTGTTTACAGTGATGACAAACTTGTGAGATACCTCGAGACTGCTGTTCAGGTGGATCCAGAGCGCCCTGTTTTAATTGACAAATATCTGTCTGACGCTATAGAAATTGATGTGGATGCACTTGCTGATTCGCATGGTAATGTTGTAATTGGGGGTATAATGGAGCACATTGAGGAAGCAGGTGTCCACTCTGGTGATTCAGCTTGCATGCTTCCCACAAAAACTGTTTCTCCATCGTGCCTGAACACTATTAGGTCCTGGACTACAAAATTGGCTAAGAGGTTGAAGGTTTGCGGGCTCATGAATTGCCAATATGCCATTACCGCTAATGGGGATGTCTTCTTGCTTGAGGCAAATCCACGTGCATCTCGAACTGTTCCATTTGTGTCTAAGGCAATTGGGCATCCATTGGCTAAATATGCTTCTCTTGTCATGTCGGGGAAGTCCCTTCATGAATTGCAATTCACCATTGAAGTTATACCGAGTCATGTTTCTGTTAAAGAGGCTGTCCTCCCTTTTGAGAAATTTCAAGGCTGTGATGTGCTTCTGGGTCCTGAAATGCGTAGTACTGGAGAGGTAATGGGAATACACACGGAGTCTTCAATTGCATTTGCGAAGGCACAAATAGCGGCTGGACAGAAGCTCCCTACTTCTGGCACCTTGTTTCTCAGTTTAAATGACATGACAAAACCACAAATTCCAACAATCGCCCGATCCTTCCTTGCACTTGGGTTCAATATTATCGCGACTTCTGGAACAGCACATGTTCTCGAGTTAGAAGGTCTTCCGGTGGAGCGTGTATTAAAGATGCATGAAGGTAGACCTCATGCAGCTGATATGATTGCCAATGGGCAGATTCAGTTGATCGTCATCACAAGTTCCGGTGATGACCTTGATCAGATTGATGGACGAAAGTTGAGGAGAATGGCTCTTGCTTACAAAGTTCCTACGATTACAACAGTCGCTGGTGCTTTGGCCACTGCCGAAGCAATCAAGAGCCTAAAAGGTAGCAAGATTGAGATGTCAGCACTTCAGGACTACTTTAATGGCAAAAACGGAGCTGGAGTCTTACAATCTGCCTCATCTTTAGCTGAATAGGTAATTTGCAACCATTACAGACAAACTTTCATTCGATAATTGGTGTGTGTTAGAAATTAGCATTCTTGAACCAGTCTTTTATGATTGTCTCGTTCAGGGAAGCAGAATGTTGAGAGCCTGAAAAAGGATTTTTGTTAGGATTTTGTGCTAGCTTTGTTGGTGGGGATTTCATTTAAAGATTGTTGCTGAACCTGAACTCAAACGAGTAGCTGCATGATGCCAATATGTGCTGCTGCTGCCACCCAAGTTTGTCAGAACAGGTCATCAATTTTAACTTGTAATCTTCTCTATTATAACATTTATAGGCTTATAGCTATATTTTGTATTCAGCTTTTCGCTTCTCTGCAGGAAGGAATTAGGAACAAAATTTTGTTTTGAATTTCCTGGGTTTGTATCACCTAAAGCTGTATTTCTCTAGGACTGCCTGTCATGTTTAGCTTTGTTCTGGTGTGAATCTGATGAACATGTTATTTTATGTTAACATAGATGCTGTTCGGCTGTGTTTCTTGATGCACTCGTTTTCAGTTGGTTTACATATCTCATTTATGAACTGGGGGCTCTGAAAACAGTTAGAATGATGCTGTCCATACATTTGCCTTTAAAATCCTAACAAACACTGGAGCCATTTGACTAGAATATCTGTCTTATTCACAATAGTGGGAATTTTTGTTTCTACACCTAACATTTGCCATGACATTCTAGAGAGGCTAGCTTTCTAAATCTGCCTCCGAGCAATGTAAATCCGAGTTTTATCTTCATTTCGCCTTCCACGGGGTTTCTCAATCTGTCCTTTTAAAGTCTAAATCTTCTATAGTTGCATTCACGCTTTCTTTCGAGTTTCCTCGTCATGATCTGCCTTTTCATGAGAACCAATGTTATTAATGTGCAGGTCCACATCAAGAAGGTTCTGCAACTTAAGGTCTGCTAGGACTGTAGTTTTTTAGTGGTTGTTTGTTAGCATCCTCTGTGGTGATTTTACTGTGCTGAGAGAACTTTTAGATGAATGATGATGAATCAGACTTCCCTTCCTCATTTTCTAGGAAAGAACTGTGTAAGAAAAACAAGTGCTTCTTCTTTATGAAAATTTGTTGAAGCTTTTTTGTTGCTTTGTAATTACAGAGGTCAAGCCGAACCTAACTCAACTAAGGTTACCTAGACTTTTGGAAGACTTGGATATGACACTGAGTCTTCCCCTTAGAAAAATGGGAAAGAATGTGACATTGATGAGTTAGTTCTCTTGTTTTTTCTGGGGTGTCATGATTCCTTAATTAGTTTCATACTGCTCAGTCATTTTTTACTCCTCCCAGGGAACAGGGTTGAAAGTGGATCAGTTTTTCACTTCTTTTTTTTGTTTGGGAGTGGGGGTTGTTCACTTACCAACCCAAAATTTAGGATTGTTCGCGGTAAAACTTAGGTGACACAGTCAAATTTGGATTTCTTGGTTGTGTTTTGTTTTATTTTCATCTACCTTAGAAAAAGGAAAATGATATGTACAGTAAAAATAAATAAATACAGAAACGACGGATTGAATATTATAATTTCCCTATTTTGTTGGCATTACTGAAAAACAAAACTGTAAAACTTGGTTTCAACTTTGGATTGAACTAGGACATTATTATAGACATGCAATTTAATCACAAATTACTAAACTTTTAAACAATTATTATTATTTATTATATTGATGACATGATTATTATTTTTATGAGATGGAGGGAAAGAGAATCAATCATGCTATTACAACAGTAAGATTTACAAAGAAGAAAATAATATATAATATCAAAAGGGAGGCAAGATTTGCAAAGACAAAATACCTTAACGCGAGGGATTTGTTTGTATATAATCTGACGGCGGCATTAGCATTTTAGTTATCTTGGTTGGTAAATGTCTCTTTGGAGACAAAATCCGATGACGATCTAGGTTGGTAAATTAATGTTTCAAGGCTCGAGGCTTTAAGAGTTGAAACTTCGACTCACTCCGTTCTAGAATAAGTGTCGATTTAGCGAAATGCAGAAATTTCAAAATAAGTATCTTTTTCACATTTCAATGTACTTTTTGTCCAAAGTTTCTAAAATTACACTCAAAAGAATTAATATTATTGGTGGGTATTTTCTTAATGAGGTTGGTTAAGAATATTCAAGTAATTTTTACAATTCTATTTCAAAGTTACTTAAACTATATGCAAATTGTAGAATGACACTTATTTTGAAATGAAAGAAGTACTCCCTCCTTCAATTTAACAATACATAGGAAAAAGACAATGAGGTGCAACCTAATAATAAAACGTCTCCCTTATTTCTAATAAGTCAAGGATTTGAATCACGTTGAGTAAGTAGGGACCACTATTAATTTATATATATATATATATATATATATATAAAACAGTATATAGGGAAGAATTACTGTAATCAACTAAAACCATCCTCACAAATTACGACCCAAATGTAAACAAATTGAAGGTGACAAACAAGTGTAGGTGCGGTTGCAGTACACATATCATACATATGTGACCCGCCGCATCAAACAGCTGAAAATTCAACAAATTTTGTCAATTTATCATAGTAGTAAAAAAGGGGGAAAAATAGTGGAAGATTCAATGTTAAAATAATTAAAACTTTGAATTAGAGCGGAATTGGTCACATTTTCAAGAAATACTATAATTACCGTAGAAATTCCGTTAATAATCCACTCATTGAATAATACCTAGCGCATTAAATCAAAGATTGCGATTGGCAAATATTCCCTCAAATAAGAAGTCCAAATGAGCAGTAAAATAAAATAAAATATCATAAATCAGGTTTGAAAGTGGTTTCATAACACTGTATAGTAGTACCTGTTAATAAGAATTAATCAACATTTCAATTAGCTGTGATGACTCTCACTCAATTTTTCTGGCGGTCTCAATTGGAAATTGAATATTGTTTGAAGAAGAATTTATCAACGTAAGAATTGATTCACAACTTTGTCTAAATTCTCATACCCGTGTGGGGCTGATTATTATTATTATTATTATTATTATTATTATTATTATTATCATCATCATCATCATCATTATTATTATTATTATTGTTATTATTATTATTATTATTGTTATTATTATTATTATTATTGTTATTATTATTATGTTTCCTGAAGTGAAAAAATTGGAATTTTGTAATTATATGTTAGCGTTGTCCAAGGATCACGAAACATTTTAATTTCTTGGTAAGCAAATTTTCTGTCCTTTTGTTACAACTGGGACTTGATTTTCCTCTTCATTTATGCATTAGGGAGTAAATATCGATGATAATTTTTTTATTAATATTAATAAACAAGTAAAGTAATAGATTTTTTACTCCCTAATGCATTAGGGACTTGATTTTTTACTGCTACTATATATTGGCCTTTTTAGTTTGACCATAAGTAACGTAAGAGATTTTTTTTTTTGTTTTTTTTAATACCAAATACAAAGGGGTAAATGTATGTGTATATACACGTTTTACGAGTTGCAATGATCGTTTAAGTTTTGGTAAACGGTATGGTAAGAATTTATTTATTTTCTTCTTGGAGATTGATGATTGATGCAATGTTTATTCACACCATTACTCAACTACACAACTTAGTTTCTACAACGTCACGCTAAATCATGATGTACTTACTATCTTCAAAGTCACGAGTGTGATAATATAGAAGTTTGATGGAATAATTGGTCGCCCTAAATTACAAGTAATACTCAAGTGCATACATACATATATATATATATATATATATATATATATATAAGAAAGTTGGTAATTATTCCAGATGCTGATCATTGAAACATTTGAACGAGATAACTATATCAAGACCGTTAGGACGTACATTAATTGGAGGGTTCACAATTTAGGTTAAGTTGGTAGCTAATCATATGCTGATGAATTAATTACTTATATCACACTGGTAAGGCTGCTGGTCATGGTCTTTGAATACCAAAATATAAATTTGGTATTCAGCATATCGGTCAAAGAAGGAATCTTGATGAAAACAATTTGCTTCACTTAATTCGGCAACCGAAAAATAAAATAAAATGCTCCCCATCTATCCGTTTTAAATAATAGTCCATTTTGTTGTATTATTTTTATATTAAAATTCCTAGCGAAATGAAAAATAAATAAAAGATTATTATTTCATATCAGAAATGAAAAATCATATTGATCTACGTATAAGTCTTACACGTTATCATCCTCATTGTCGATTGTTTTTACAGGTGAAACGACATAATATTATATGAGATTTTAAGATTTTGTTCAACAAAGTGAATTACTTGTGCAGGTAAGAGGGAGTAAAATGATAATGATATTTGCAAAACCCTAGTTCCTAGATGCCTATAGATATCGATCTTATCACGTATACATGTGTATATGGATGGAAATTATTTGAGTGTACTGGGAAATGGATGAGGATGATAGACAGATAGAGCCCCAAGTGTCTGCTCGTATGGCTATCGGTACTGCATGAAATATAAATGCTTGGCGGTTTTGATAAATTCTGATTTGTGTTTCATTCCGTAGAAAGCTACTTGACCTTATTTGAATGCTACAAGAGATATGTAGTCTTTGGTCTGTGTTCCAAAAATATCAGATTTGACCAACTACTGCTATTACCATCCTTTAATGTTGTGCAATTAATAACGTGTTACATATTTTCTTTTCCTCTACATTCTAAATTGATTATCCGACCAAAATCAAATGCTCATTTAATCTCGCGATAATAATAATTCCTAAACAAACACATAGTACATGTCTAATGTGGATTGGAAATCTAAACTCATCCTTTTCCTTTCCCCTCGAATTTTCTGAGTACTTCCATAGTTCCATGTACAGAAAAAGCTCTTTAAGACAACACCAGCAATAGTGTTTTTTTTTTTTTTTTCTCTCTCTAAATTTTGCACCCCTTACTTAGACGCCGTTGGTTTCTTTGGTCGAAGAGTTAATAAACCCTCAATGGACAAAGAGAACTTTTCCCCGATGAGATATACAGCTTCAAATACTAAGACCAAGAAACGAGAATTACAACATCTTCATAGCATTTGTTCATTCAAAAAGGAATTATCTTCAATTGTCACGTCTATTTGCTATAATAAAATATACTAATATTTCAGGGCAGAAAAAGTACACCGCTAAAATATACCAACTTGATATGTTTGTTTCGTTTTTTTAGTGTGTGTTTTTAGGTATTTTTTGTATTAAAAATGTAAAAAAATATATTGAAAATGTAAAAAAGTATGCTGGGATGTGACGGTTAATAATAAAATAATTAAAAAAACTAAGCAAAAAATGAAACAAACATAGCCCGCAAATTAATTATGTATCCGTTTCCTTTCTCTTTATTGTGGGCAAATTAACTTTTAGCCAAATTGGTGACAAAGGTAAAACCAATTTGCCAAGTATGTGAACTCAAGTGAAACTTTTTTGATAACGTTGGGAATCCAACTGAGATGGGTAAATCCGTGCCCACTGTAATAGCGTGCAAATTACAGTGGAAAGTAAACCATCATAGGTTTATTCGGGGTGAGAAGTTCGGGTACGAAATTGGGGGTTCATTAGTGAGTTAGGCATAACAAGCCCTTAGAGGTGTCAATAGGTAAGGTGAGGGTCAATCTCTTACTTTTTATTGGAGTGGGGGACTGAACTCATGACCTCCTCTTAAAGCAAGGGTGGTATTACTACTGACCCAACTCCTTATTCGCAACTCATGTGAAACTTTCTAAAGTTTTTTTGTTTTTTGGATAAAACTAATCAAGTGTTAAAGAAAGGCTTGTTTGGATGTCCACTCATTTTACATTTTAACTCATTTTACCTCTTAAACACAAAACCCAATGAAAAAGAAAATATCATCCAAACAACTTTCTTATTTACATTTTAAATTCCAATTTGAACAACTTTTTGTTAGTGTAATGACTATTTTAGAACTACAAATAGTTCAGTGACAAATTTGACAGGATTCCATTGTTGAGTAATTGTTTTTGGAAAAGTGCTTTTTTGCAGTGACTATAATTGACAGTATTTAGTTGTTTAGTGATGACTCGTACTTGATATTTTCAAAATGTAGTTCAAAATATTTTTTCCAAAATCAATATCCAAACAACTTTTTGCTTAAAATACCATCTAAACAACATTTTCATTTCTCATTTAATTTTCAACTTGAAACACTTTCTACTCTTAAGTGACAAAATGAAATGTAAGAGGACGTCCAAACAAGCACAGTTGCAATTTGCAAAAGAGGGAGAAAAGATGA